CGTCAATTTAAATTCTCGGTCTATCTTAGTATTATTTTACTGTCCCAAACATATTATACTTGAAAATAGATCTGTGTGTACTTTAAAATCAGTGTATCTTTTCTGTCTGAGTTATAGTTAACCTTACTTGATGAAAATTTGTTTAACCTGCTTACATTACATATGAAGTTGAATAGTTGATTAAGAATACGATACGTATTCAAATGGTCCCACTGGACTAGAAAGGGTTAATATATTTCCTATGTCTCTCCCATTGCGAAAAATCAATCAATCAAGAATCGCAATTATCTAGTTTGTCTAATTTTCACTTTTAAGACAATGTCCATTATTCAATAAGGTAATTTCTAACTCAATTGATTATTTTCATAACAGTCAAAGTTAGCTGCTTAGTTTCAACTTATTTTACTAGGAACATTACTCTTTTTCGTACTTAACTATCTATTTAATTCTTATTTTATTCATTTATTGAACATTTCCATTAAATACCCTTCTTTTATTTTGAATAAATTATTTTCCTATGCTTCTATCTTTTATTCTAGATTCTTAGCAAAGTGATTAATGTATTAATTTTCATATAATTATTTGTATGACTGTCTATTTTTTGTATCTTAAGGTACTTTTTATAGTAAAATTTTTTAGGTTTAGATAAATAGTTATAATTGGTATATGAAAAACAATTATTTTTTTTCTATTTTGAAGAAATCAAACGTAAATCAAAAAATAAATCAGGAAAATACTTAAAATTGTATCCAAAATAATAATTTTTTTTTTCTATCATAAATCAACAATGAATAATAGACTATGTTCTGTTCAGTAAGAAAATATGCTGTGGCCCGACGAAAATCAATTGTTTTATGTATTTCTACTCAATATCTCGTTATAGTCGAACCGGTCTTGATGAAAGAATGTCGAATTGGTACATTTTTTGCTATTAAGAGTATATAAACAGAAATTTAAATTTCATCTTCATTAAATAATAAATATTCATAAAAAAATTGATCATAGATTTAATATGACGTCTTGATCAATTTAATAGTAGTGGTGATGGTATATTATTTTTAATACCAATATACAAATTCATAATATATACCTTTTTTAAAAAAAGGCTGACAGGCCATTTTTGACTCCAAGTTGTTTTTCATATGCATTAATTTATCATTGAATTAAAATATAGTATATCTCATTTAACATGACTTCCTTAATAAAAAGGTATACTCAACATCTACAACTATGCAGAAAAATGACAAAAAAAAAAAAAAAATTTATTCATCTCATTTATAAGCATATTACTATTATAATTTAAAAACTGTCTTTTTCTTCAAATTGTGATTTTTACTCGTTATTTAATCTAATATAAATAATAAATATTATAATTTCGAATTCGACTGCTTATTCTCACTGAAATTTAAATGTCACTCACAATAGTAATTGATATAAAATAATAATATAATAATGTATGTACGCGCATATTTAATATATTATTTAACTACTTGCAGAGTTATAAAATATTTAAGTTTGTGGTTAAAGTAAGCGTATACATCATTAGTCGAGTTTTTCAATCCATCGTCAAACTAAAATTATTATTTAACACTTTTATTGCTTCAGTGTTTTGTTTATGATTTGTCAAAACTTATTAAATCTGCACTGTATATTACGTTTTGCGTCATAGTAATACTGTGTTAAAAATTAATTACGTACTCAAAACTATATTGGCTTAATAAATTTAATGTTTTTGTTACGCGTATAATATTTATTAAGTATACTTATTAATGTTTAAGATAATTCCTAACCTTAAGACTTAAACAATTGTGAAGTGAGAACTTCTAAGTTATTCAAGCGTATCGTTACAGTTATACTTATTTTATTCCAATTGATATTTTTGTTAATAATATACGATGGAGGGAAAAAAACACATTGTTATAAAATAAATAACTTCCATTGTATACAATATATAAAATTGTAACCTATTACAGTCGAAAGTCGAACACATTATTGTTTACTATTCTGAATCGTATAAATATAAAAGCTAGGATGGAATTGTTTATACTGTAAAATCTGTAAGAAGCAATTTGCCCTCTACTAATATAAATAATGCAATTTCTTATATATTTGTATAAATAAATATGTTTTATTGATTGATCTTATGTATTTTTTTAACCAAGTAGTTAAAGATCAAAAATAAAAATAAATAGATTATATTAATATTATTTGACTTGTATTACCAAAAATATAGAATAATTAACTATATTATATTAAAATACGTATATCTATAATATCTATAGTTTGATCGCGATTAAAGTATTTAAATTAAGCAATGTACATCAATACCAATGTAATATAAACTATATTATCAGTTGGATTTTAAATGCATCAAAAATGTAATATACTCTATAGGTACTTTAAAAAAGTAAAAAAAAAAAATTGGAATAGTAAACAGAAAAACAAAATAAATAAAACACTTTATGACGTTTTAAAATTATTGAAATTTTCATTTAAAAAAATTATTTTTTTTAAATGTTAATTACAATTCTGCATGTTACTATATTACAATAGAATTTGGTTTCCTTTACGTATAAGATTCCCAACTACCTACGTTAAAAATATATGTCAGTAGACTCATATAATATTTTAATGTTATACGTTTGTTTTTATGACTTAATTTTTAATCTTGTTGGTTTTATCGGAGAATGCCGGAAATTTTTTATATCATAGATGTTACAGCATTCCCTGAAAGGCGCAGTATCTTGTCGTAAAGTAGCATCGTTAACTATTGGAGTCACATCCTTTGGAAAATCAGTGGTAACATAACGGCATTGAAGATGGAAATTATATTATTAAGGTATGTCACTTTCGTATGAACTGTTTTCTCATTAAGTTATGATTAAAATATTAATGTTGTCAAGTTAATGTAAATTTAAATTCCAACTTTGAGATAACTATAGTATAGCGTTTACAACAGGAAATTTAACTACACCACTCTCATGAGTATATTTTTACAGTAACTCCTAAGTTAATATTATACGATTTTTTAAAATATAGTTCAATAAAATGTATCGCATAATACTGAACTGAGAGTTGAGAGTAGGTACTTATACTATTGTAACTAGTTTGATTTCTCAAATATTTTATAACTAATATGATTAGTGTATAAAATAATTCTAAAATAGTGAATAATATGTTCATATTGTAAGTAGACAAAGTGAAAATATAATATAGCATTATATAAATTATGTTTATAATAAAGCAATACGAAACAATTTTAAAAACTAATATTTATATTTAACGAATAATTAATCTAGAACTAATATTATATTATAATTAAAATGTAACACATACAACTTAAATTAAAAATTTTCCTATTTAATGCCTTTTAAAAATAATTTAAAAATAATATAAAGTGTATTCTTAATAAATCTTCTATTACCTTTTAATTTAAATTAATCACTTGCTTAAAATAAAAAAAAAAAAATAAGCTAAGGTCGTAAATTTTAGATACGTTATTAAAATTGAAATTATAATTCTCAGTTTGTACCTATATAAATTATTGATATGTACAAACTGGGAATTACATATTATATATGTATGATATATATATATATATGTATGTATGTATGATATATATATATATATATATATATATATATATATATATATATTTGTATATTTTTAAGTATTAAACATACTTAAATTTATTTGTCACAAAATAGATGTTTTAAGAATTATAATTTTGTTTATTATTTTTACTTTACTTAATTGAATAATTAAAAATAAAAAAATTTATTATTTGTTTTAATTTTAAACATTTAAGTCAGTTGTAGTAATAACATAATATTTCAAATCCGTATAATATTTATGGTTATCTTAATTTATTTTTGATTCAATAGCTAGAAAAAAATAAAAATACCTTAGGAAAAGAGTAGATTATATTTATTTTTTTGTATAAGTAGATTAGAAAAAAAATCATTATTAAACCATTATCTATTTTTATTTCAAAAATGAAACGTAGTTGTACTATAGATACTAATAAAAAGCCTGTGTTATTTTTATAGTAGTTATTATAAATAATTATAATAATACTAAGTTTAGTAAGTTTAAAAAATAAATATATTTAATGATATTTAACTGTATATTAATTATAAAAACTTGTAGTTATACATGTGCAAAATTGGTTGATTTAAAATTTAATTTATTATTTCTATTTCCTATATAGTATCCAGCTTAAAAAAAAGTCGACAATTTATTTTGATTTAATTAAACAAAAAGTTTTTATATTAATTGTATTAAAGTGAAAAAACATTGCTTTTAGATTTATTTTTATTCGGATGTTTACTTTTAGATTTAAAACAAAATTTCTGAGTTATTTAAGTGTATATTTATCATATTGTTCATACCAATTCGTACAAGAGCGACGTTTTTTCGTTTTGAAGTTAAAAATATCGAAATTGTTGTTACTTATATTAGTTGAAACGAATTACGAATTTATGATATGGGTTTGGGAATCGATATTTTTTAATTCCCGATACCAGGGCGTAATATCGTATCTATACAATATACCGCGTCGTGACGATTATTTGTCTTTGTTTCTCCTCTCGATCTTTCACAAAACGTACGTTATTAACAACAATAATCATATATACACGTATTTTGTGTCGTTTTCGTGCTCGTATTTGACGACAACCGACCGCTGCATACCTATACACTATATTTAACGTGTGTTCAACCATTCAACCGTTAAAGTTACCAAGCTACAGTCAGTCGCACAGTTTCGGCAACGGTCGGACGTCGGGGATTGTGTATATAATATAATTTGTGGGTATGCTCGGTGGGTGGAAAGAGTGATGTAGAAGATGCGACGAGCGGGAGGGTATGATCGACCAGGTGGGAAAGTACGTTCAGCGATTATGGTGGAGGGATCGCTGCTGACGCCGCCGCTACCTGTTACACTGAAAGCCGTTTCCGAAAGGATTTCGTTTCAGTAGCGCCGAATTAACGGTCTGAATCACATTGCGCGCCGTTTCGTACGCGTGTAAACGATTATTGTATTTTATTGTTGTTATCGTCATAGTTCACACGTCGTTATAGGTAGGTGTTGTAAATTATTATTGTGTCATATTATTTACGTTGTCGCGTACGACGACCATCAACCGTTCGTTCAGGGGAGACGCGTCGACTGTTAAAAAATAATAAAAAATAAACTAAAACTCGAATTTCGTTTGAATCGTGCGTCGTGCATAATATAATATATGTATTTACAACGCAATGCATGACGTGTATGTGCGTAGATCGTAAATTCGCGATACTCGAGTGTGACTTCTGCACGTGAAACTTATCGCTACAACCAGGTCAGTGTACAGACGCTTATCATTTGGTATGTATTATACCGTACAAATATAACGTATAGGTATGAATGTTATTATTTTTACGATGCAGTTGTTGTTATTCAGAAACCCATAAAAAACAAAGTGCGTCTATTCGCGTATGAAAATACACACTCTAAAAAGTACGCGTATTCACCCGTATAATAATGAACATATTATAATTTATTATTTTACTATTTATCATACCGTTTAAATTAATCATTACGCAATATACCTGAGCGTAACGCAGGTGCGGGCACAATCGCGGTTCTAGATCGCATGTAATACAACCTTCGACGGACTTATTATACTATTGTGTATTGCAATGTTACCAAAAAGGAAAAAAAAAAGGAAAATTAAAATAAAAATTCATCGGGAAATCATTTCGTGACGATGACGGACCGTCATAAAATGAGTGGATGCCTTTTTCGTTTTGTATCACACTCGTATATAGCGCATTATATATTATTTCTTTTTACATCGAAATTAAACGCGTCGGAAAACAATTTAGAACCCGAGCGTGGGACATGTGCGTACACACGAAATATGTAAATACTCGAGCGATCCAAACACACCTGGGATCAACATTTAAAACCTAATTTGTCCGCCGGTGTAGTTAGCATGCCATATTAAATACGTTCATGTCTAGGTATGGCGGTTGCATACGTTCTTACTTACGCATTTGGTACATGTGCGTTTTATCGTGACCTCAGCCGGCGCTTATGCGCATGTGCTTTTGTTGTTAAATTATATCATCGTACAATATGATGTTATATTGGAGTTAAAAAAAAAAATATGCCGTTTGACGAGTTATACATGGTATAGTTGGAATATTTTTGTTTTTTAAAATTGTCGATTAATATACGCATAATAATTACGTGTAACTAGTTTCAGTTGCGTGTTAAATATGGTACCGTTTGCGCCGCATAAAGCCATTATTGTGGCGTATAGTGAGGTAGACGCATAGGAATCGTATTTTTTCGTTATTTTCGTATTGCGACTTGCCCGATGCATTGCCCGACAATTGTTATCGAATTAGATAGTATATTAGCATCACATACGACTGAAAGCCCTTAACGTTGTACACATCCTTAGAAATGCGTTTTTGCATTGAAACGGTTACATGGTGGTAGTGGTGATTGTGGTGATAGTGGTGGGGGAGGGGTAATCCACAGGCAATAATAACATTATACTAGTATTTTTATAGCGGAAAAATCGAACTATATACATGTCACTATAAGTATAACACAATACTCTATGGACTACTTCAGAGTAAATTGAACATACTATATTTAAAAAACATAACATTATATCATATATTGTAGCTTACGGTCGGAACGAAAATAATTGATAAACCATGGCTATACGTATATTTATTTAAATTTTATTTTCCACCCCTGGTTCGCTTGGGTTGCATGCATATGTTATTATATGTATATACTCGTGTACGTGTATATATATACTATTCATATTTTATGTCAAGCACTCAGCCGTCCCGTGTTGCCCGACCGTACCAAGTACGTGACTATAGCACACGTACTAGATTTTTCCCAGAACCCTTTAACCATTGAAGGCCTAGTCGATCCTCCATATCGAGCTTGCGTGTGGCGCGTGTGTGCGAACCAAAAACGGAAATACGTGAATGGTTTTATTTTTATTTTTTTATTTTTTCCGCGTGCCAAGAGAAACCATCTGAAACTAGCTACATGCCCATGTTTTTTAAATGAATGACAAAACTTATCAATAATATAATATAATATCAACATAAGTTATCGAAATGGATTTGACTATATTGCGTGTAACCTTTCAAATACATTTACCAACAGTTTAATAACTAGCAATACGTTATGATGTGTTCATTTCCACAACAATGATGTATCGACTTTGTATTTTGTGACGGCCACTGTTCCACTGTTATAATCTTTGGAACGCCGAGATGAAAAAAAATCAGGTAATTGTTTTCGTACATGACATGAACATTGCCGAGCAACAATATCGAAGAAAATTGATTATTATTTCGGATTATTATTATTGTTATAACACCCGCGACTCGCGTGTTTCGATTGCCGTAGTTAAATTGCCTACACAACGCGCCGTTCAATAATGAAAAGAGGTTTTTCAACCATAACCGAGTGAGTGGAAATGGCTGAGAGGTCACACATACACTGTAAAAAATCATTACTTTTTTTGATACCGTTTCGGAATATTGAAATGAATTGTGTCGACGATGCACATCTCTGGAATCCATTTGACACTTGTATAGATTTTGAGAATTTTTTTCATCACAGGCGGTCTACCTATAGTTTAATAATAATATGCTATAATATTTTTATATTAAATACATAATTTGGTTTAAGGCAGATTACGATAAATTGTCAAATCAGTCGTGTCTTACTTTAATATCCGACGACACTCCTGGAAGTCGTGACACACAAGTTGAAAACCATTGGTTTAACCTATAATTGTTTAGATTCATTCTTCATAAATAATTATAACCAAGAAAATAAGATATTTATACAGAAGTACAACATAGGTAATTAATATAATTAATTAAAATAGGCGTCCGAACTATAGGCCTTCGGGCCTACTCCCGGACATAAGCGCCATACAATAAAAAAAAAAAAAAAAATAATATAATTATGATAACCCATAATAACGTTATTGAAAAAACCTGTTAATACATACAATATAATCTTAAAGTATAGACAGATGACAGTTATTTAATATATAGTTCTAATATTATAAAATTGAGGACTTCCAAAAAAAATAACATCCCAGAAGACTAAATTTATGATTTATAAATCGATCTAAAAAATGTTCCATTAATTACATTGAGTAATTATTAAAAAATAAATCTATCATACGAGTCTATGTAACATATTATACACTATATGCAACTTTAATAGTAAGTAAAATTATTATTTCCGGTTATGGTCTTTTTGTGCTTCTAAATATATATCTAAAAGTAGGCGTGGTTTTAGTCTTGGATTAGTAGTAAAGTTATTCAATAAATTGAATCAATTTTTTTATACGAAAATGAGTTGAAATAATTAATTGGATTTTAAAACTGTGAGCGTTGACAGAAGGTAAAATTATATACGAGTATTTATATACGTTTCAACATAAGGAAGGAAATATATAATTATAACATCATTCATGTAGAAAATAATGATTTAATAGACCAATTATTTTCTACAGTAATGTGAATCTCTGATATTATAATATTAATATTGCACGCTCTAATAACAATTATTGCATTCAGTGGACGTGTAATTGAATGTCTACTCTGTCTCGCCTGCTTATTTACTCGTTTGTAATATATAAATTGAACATTCACGCATTTACAGATATAAAAAATAAATTACTTACACCGTTTGGGTCGATTCGATACGTGAATAGTTTAGTTTTGATTAGTGTTACAAAAACTAGGATTATGCATTATTGTATCAACGCGAATTGATCAATAATTCACATTAGAGCAATGACAATGGTGTGAAGTTTCTAACACTTTTTTAAATTTGGATTTGTGTAGAGTATCCGTGAAATTCTGCAAATCCTCATATATTATTGGTATCTATTTACATGTTAAATAAACCGATTGTTTTGTAATATATAATAGTATATTATATGAACACTATGCAAGGTAACAGAATTCTGTGTTTTTCACCTATTTATTAATATGAAGACCAATACAGTTAAATGAAAAAAAAACGCTATTGTCTACGTGTACGTGATTTCGGAAATAAATATTCAAAAAATGTAGTTTGTGTTAAAATATTGAAGACAAAAAATCAAATAGCACAAATGATTCAATTAAAATTAAGAATGACCTGTTTAAAAAAAAATAATTATGATAATTTTATTTTTATAAATAAATAATTACATAATTTGAGGTTAGTTAAATTATAATAAAAATAATATTTAATTAGTTTCTTAATAATTGGTTAATTAGTTGCTAAATGTCAATAATAAATTACAAATTATACTTTCACTGGAATGATTTATACAGTAAATAATAATATTAAATATTTATGATACGTTTCGTTTAATAAATAAATAAATAAATATAAAAATAATATATGGGTGTTTAAAATTTAAATGAACAAACAATATCTTTATTTATCTTTATATTTATGTTACAATTATCATATACATTCTGTATTGTATTAAATATAATTATTCAATTCAGTCCGACCATTTAATCAACGTTTTTAATTCGCATGCTTTATATAATAATAACTAATAATATTGATAATCGTTATTATTAAAGCTCAGATGTCTATGAATTTAAAACTACTGTAATATGTATGCATTTATACACTAAAAAATTACGAAATATGTAATCAAAATATGCATTAAAATTATAAAATATGCATTTTTAACCAATAAAAACGCCAAAATATGCACACAATTTTTTATTATAATTAAAACATAAATATTTCATTTTTATTATGTAGTACCTAGTTATTTTTATTTATTATTATTTATAAAACAATTTTAAATACATTTTTTAAATTTACATAGTGTTTTATTTACTTTAATTTACATTATTACTTATTAATTAGGTATTAATATTATTAGCGTTATACTGCGCTAAATTTGTTTGAATTTGTAACTGTGTCTAATTTTTGAAATGTGAAAAGCTTCTTTCTATATCAACTGATGTTATCTTATATCTTGTCCAATAAAATACTGTAATTCCGAACAAATACTATAAGTTGATAATAAACATTTATATTTTACGTCAATATTTGGTAGATTGTAGACTTAAGGTATCACCTATAAAATTTATGCATACAAATTGTGAAATTAATTTTATTGTTCGTTAATTAAAATTATTTTTTAAAAAAATGTACTGAAACATACATTTTTATTTTTATGATCCCAAAATATGCAATAAAATACTAAACCATAAAATATGCAAAAATATGTAAAATAAAAATAGGTTGTATTATTTGATATAGTATAAAATGAATTATAATTGTATCCAGGTTAGCATTACATTGGATAA